TGTCAAGGCAGGGGTCGCCGCCCCTGCTCCTGGCGGGACCCGGCTGCCACCACCCGCACCGCCGGGCCAGAGCCCAGGCCTCGCGTCGAGCCCGGGATGGTCACGGGAGCCGCTGCCCCGGCTCCGCCGGCCCGCCTTCCCGGCCGCTTCCGAGGCTGCGGCCCTGCTGCCCGTGCTGATCGCGCGGACGGTCCCCCCAGCACCGCCAAGGCCTCTCCGGTGTCTGCTCGGCCCTCGGCGGGGTAACCGCAGGGACAGCGGGCACGGACGTTGGGCTTGGGAGGTTTTCCCAGGTGAGGGAATCCCGGGGCTGTTTTTCCTGCCAGATTTTTTTCCCCCTTGGAGCTCTTCCCAGGCTGACTTCTGGTGCCCTTGTGGCTATTTCCCCGTCAAAGGAAACAGGGCATCTTACATCTTGGAATTTCAATCTGAGCCCTCGGAGAGGGAAACCAGTTACACCTTCCTTTTACCTGCTGTTGGTGGGAATCCTGCGATCTGGAGAGCTTTAGCTCTTCTTGACAGTTGGGATGCTGGAGCTGGAAAGGGTTTCAGATTATCTGTGCTATTCCTTGATTTCTCAGTGGGGCTAACGTGCCTAAAGAGGAACTTGCTCAAGGTCATACAGGAGGTCGGTGTCAGAGCAGGGAGAGGAACCCAAGTGTCTTGGTTCCTAGTTCTCAGTTCCATTCTGCCTGCTCTGTGGCCAACGTCACACAGCAAATTATGGGTACAAGGAAAAATAGGCCTCAGGTCTCCTGTTGCCATTAATGGGTGGTCCCCTAGAAATCTACCATAAGCGGGCTGGCCCGTTGGCTCAATTGGTTAGAGCGTGGTATTATAACACCAAGGTCAAGGGTTTGGATCCCTGTACCACCAGCAACCAAAAAATAAAAACAGAAAACAATTCTATCATTAACAATTTAATTTTTTTCTATGGAATTTGATGCTACTTTTCTCCTTTGTTTTCAGCTTAAAGAGAGGTCGAGAGATACACTGTTGTTTAGTGAAAAGATCTCTACACTGGAGTTTAGGGGTCTTAAGTTTAAATCCTGGCAGTGCCACTGATTGGCTCTGTGACCCTGAGCAAATTACTTAACATCTCTGAGCCTCAATATGCCCATCTGTAAAATATCTATACTTGCGTCGCAGAGTTGTTTGAGGATTAAATAAAATGATGTATTGCGAAAGCATGTGCAGAAGGAACACAAAAATCTGAAGCTTTCTTATCTATCAGTATATTTATCTTGGCACCCATCAAGCAGACTGGTTCTTGAGCATCAAGAACTGGATTTTTTGCTCAGTAACTAAATTCTACTTTGTCACCCTCTTAAGACCCGGATTTGCTTGCAATAGTAACAGTTAGGTTAGGTCACATTTGCTTCTAAAGGTAAAGCAACTTCTATGTCACTGTGAAAACAGCAGTTAATTCTTTAATCATTGAGCTTGCACTTAACACCTAATTCATCTTTGATAGGGACATTAAGCCTTCAGAATGAGGGACTAAAGCAACAAACGCTTGATGATGAATGTGTTGGTAAATTTGTTTTGCCTTTAGTGTGGTCTACAAGAAAAATACCTTCAGTAAATATTCAGAAAGTATTGGTCTATGGAATGAGAAGATGAGGTTTTTTGCTATAGACTCTCTGTGTGACCTTTGGCAGCGGTTTTACCTCTGGGCCATTTTCTCCCCTTAGGGATTATTGGAATGGAAGGTGCCTTAAGGGCTGACCCCAGGATGGTGGGGTTGCTGAGCTGGATGCCAGTTTTAAGCAGATCACTTCCTCTATTGGGTTTCCATTTAAGGTTTTATTTGAAAAAAGGAATCTGCAGCTTAAGAAAGCTTTTCACATTGAGAAAATAGTGGTTTTCTGAAGACTTTTCCAGCTCTAAAATACTATAATTCTAATGAGCCAGTTCCCCACCAGCAAGCATATATTGAGTCCTGCCATTCATCCAACACTATATATGTTTTCAGTTGGAGTGTGAAGGTAAAAAAGGAAATGAGCTATGGATAAGGTGGCACAGGACCTCAAGTCAGAAGTTCAGAGTTTCTGGTCCATGCTCTACAAGGCTGGCCTTAGTTTCCTCATCTGAGAAAAGGTCACTAATACCCATCTCTCTAGGTTTTATAGAAATAAAATGATGTGATATATGTACAAGTATATCATAAAGTGGAAAGTCTGTGCTTTAAAAAAAATCTTATTTTACTTAAAGTTCTGGGACATAGTACTACTTTATTCCAAGAACATGGAGGAGATATGACAAATATGGAAAGACTGCTAGTTAAAGAAAATTATTGCAAGTATTAAGGCAATTTGATGGGATGGAAAGTCTTCAGATAAAGTATGATTGAGGCTGGCCTCAGTTTTTCCAAAAAATATTTACTGAGTACTTACTATGACCCAGGCACTGGAGGTACAACAGTGAACAAAACATAAAAATCCTTTTGCTCCTGGATTTACATTTTAAATCAGTTGTTTCAGGTCTTCTGTCACAAGGACATGAGCCTGTTTTGTGTGAATGTCTTTTCTCTCTCTTTGGGATGGGGGGTGGTGGTGGAAGAAAGACATAATGCCAATTTTATATTCTGCTTCTCACAGAGTTACCTTTAAATGGCCTCCCTTCTTACAGCCCATCTGCTTGTGGATGAATCAAGTCCTAGGATTGAGATTTTGGCCAGTGGCTTTGGCATAGAGTATTCTTTTGGGTCTAGCTTTATCTTGTTTTCAGTCCAGAGACATGACTGTAGATACCAGAAGATTAGAGAATACAACTGAGTCATACTTTTCTCGGCTGTTGATTGGTATCTCATTATTAGTAGATGCCAGTATTTCAGCAAAGGTTCAGGCCCCAAAAAGAAAAACTATGACAGGATATAATATATATGTTTTTCATGGAAAAAAGTTACCTTTACAATTTTTAATGAATTTTAATACCTTTGGTTTATGTACCTAATTTCTTTTTTTTCTATTCTGTTTATTGTAATGTAATATGACTTTGTACCAGTTCTCAAGGACTGATTTATTAAAGTTCAAAATAACCTTTTAAATTTACATTTCTGGTGTATGATAGTTTTAATTTGGGAAGAAATATACCAATGGTAATAATATCTTAGAGTAGTGGGATTACTGGGTGACTTTTGCTTTCTTTTTTTTATATCTTTCCCTAGTCCCAGCAAATTAACGATAATGACCATGTTAGATATATTATCAGACAAAATAAATAATTTATTTAAAATCTTTATTCTGTATGGTATGGGCATCAAATAATATTAAATAAATCTTCTTAGATTTTATTATAAAGTGCAATTTTTTAATATTTATAGTATAATGTGTAATTGAAGGAGCACTGGACTAAGAGTCAGAAGATCTAGATTCTGGTTTCCATTTTGCCAGTTACTCACTGTGTGACCTTAAGCAAATTCTTACTCTTTGGGCCCACTGTCTCCACCTATAAAATAAGCGAGTTGTGCTCTGGGTTTCATAAGGAACCTCCTGGCTCTAAAATTAGTGATTGTTTTCTTAGAGTTTGTGTTATTCCTAAATTGACCTGGTGGTCAAAAATGTTGACAAAACCTCCCAGATTGAGAAAATTCTGATGACTGAGCTAAAAAATTATAGTTTTATTCTACTCCCAACATCTTTTGACAACTTATGTTCATAAAATTGACTTGAAAACATAACATGTTTAAATTTTCAGATCAAAAGTAGAAAACTGAATATTGATGTTTTCAAATTTGAGATAGCTTCCACATTGAGCTAATAAATGAGAAAAGTATTCCTGGGAAGTTCCTGAATATATCTGTGCAAATTTGCAGCATTATCAGCCATCAGAAATGACTACATCTCCACTGTTTACTATATGATTTAATTCTATGCATGACTTTTGTCTGTTGATATTAATGTAGGTCTCTCGGCTGCTGGGGGCATTTCACAACCCGAAACAGGTGACCAGAGGTTTTGCTGGTGGTGTGAGTATAATTATGTCTTTTATTTTTTCCTTTTAGAAGTTTCTCAAGAAAGATGCTCTAATATATTTATGATATAGCATTTTATCTACATTTACTTAAAACTAGGGAAAATTTGCCATACTTAGTATGTTAAAATTATTGGCTGATATATGCACAAATCGATTAAGTCACTTACCCATTTAAAAGAATTATATTACAGCTGGCTATGTAAGCCTCTCACATTAATATCTTGAAGGAGCTTGTTTAAAATAGATAGAAATTACCCTTGAGACTGTTATTTTATTTCATAGTCTAATTTTGGTAAGACAGTTTTTTTCAAAACTAGTGCAAATTGAGAGAAAATTGTTGAGAAGCTTCAAATCCTGCTTTGCATTTTTATTTTGTGAGCCTCCCTAAAAACAGTAGATTGATTACCAATTAGGAATGCCTTAAGCATCTCTAAGCCCCATAGGTTTATACTTTGCTTATACAGTTTTTATAGACTATCATGTTAGCGGATCATCTATTTCTCATTAAATCTGCTGCTTTTAGAATTCCCAGCATTAAAGTTCTGTGCTTTAAAAGCTGACACCACATTTTTGGAACATTCTAAGACTGTGGGTCAGTGACATACTATTAGTTTTTATTTTATTTCCTTTTTACAGAATCTGATTTGGATTTCATAATTCCTATACTCCCATATAACATCTTATGCCATGAGGGATTTATAAGACCATAGCGCATTTTTTTCCCATTTACTTTCTGTACTATGGGAGAAAAGTAGATTTTCTGGTGGCCTGATGCCATTTATTATTACATGTTGGGAGAACAGGAAGAAGAAGCCAAGAGGTTCTTTTGGCTCTGCTTATGCAAAAAATGCAGAATGAGACTTGCATTTCAAGCTTAAGGATAACTAAGCTAGCATTTCAAACACATTCTGAAAGCTAATGAAATGATTGTTGCTGTCTACTACTATTTAATATTTAGGCTATCCATTTAAAAAAAATATTAGCCTGATGGAGGGGATTATTTTTGGAAGAAATAAGAGGAGACATATTAATTTTGAAAAAAATTTTTTCAGTTATACAAAAAAATTCAGAAATAATTAGTCCACCTGTCTAGTGGGTATCATTTGAGGGCCAAGGACCCGGGAAAGTTGAATTAGTGATTTTAACAAAATGTATCTGAGGCAACTGGAACTGAAAAAGTCCAGAGACCATCACACCTGGGCCGAACCCCTAAGTGGGTGAAAGTCCTCAAATAATAAAACATAGAGGGTCTGTATGTTATCTTAACTCACTTAAATCCTCTGATCTTTTCCCCTTACATATTTTTATTTCTACGTTTGAAATGCTGGCTTCATTTTGCCTGAAGCCTTTGGAAGAAATCATTGACGTTACATTATAAATATGCTTATTGTCATTCTAAATGTAACTCAGGCTTTGCAAGAATGATCACACGTGCTATTCTTATTGGTTACAAATCAACTTTGCTGAGCTTATTTAGATTACACTTATCTTTTTTTTTTTTTTTGTCTTTTTCCGTGTCCGGCAACGGATCGCAACCCTCAGTGTCGCGCCCGTACCGGACCGGGACCGGCAACGGGATCGCAACCCTCGGTGTTGCCCCCGCGCCTCGCTCAGCCAGTGAGCGGGAACCGGTCTGTATGTGGGATCCGAACCCTCGGGCGGGAGCGCCGCCGCGCTTCCCAAGCGGCGCACTATCCAGTGCGCCACCGGGCCGGCCCTCGCTCAGCCAGTGAGCGGGAACCGGTCTGTATGTGGGATCCGAACCCTCGGGCGGGAGCGCCGCCGCGCTTCCCAAGCGGCGCACTATAGCAGTGCGCCACCGGGCCGGCCCTAGATTACACTTATCTTTAAGGAGCCAATTTTTGAGAGGAACCAAGAAAAATGTAGGCCCTCTCCTATGTGAAGTCTGATTTTTCTCTGAGTGTCAAAACAGACCTCAGCAATATTCTGGAAATGTGTGTGAAAGAGTTCTGTAAGACTGAGTAAGTTATGTGAGAAACTTTCCAGAATCACAGTAGAAAGCAAAGTACTTGCCTTCATGAGAAACCCACTAAATTTTACTGAGAGAACTTTGCTGACATTTTTTGTTGTCTTTGGTTTTAAAGATTTGAATTAATTGGTCACTTTAGCTTGTCTGAAAAGAAATATCAATTGGGAAGTCTACTTGGTAATTTAATTTATTTTTGTTTTATCTAAAGAGCATCATTTGAGTTGTTCTTAAAATCTCTGAACTCAGGTAAAGAATAGAATTGTGGAATTTCTTGTCTGTTGATTCCTGTTTACATCTCTTTTCTTAACATGAGTTAAATCTTTCTGAGACCCTGCCACAAAGTGGATTTCTCTGTCAATGTTATTCTTTTTTAAACCTTCAAAAATAAATTCTCACTGTTTTTTTTTTTGATGATTTCTTATATTCAGGTTAAGACAGTAACTTTAATTCCAGGAGATGGTATTGGCCCAGAAATTTCAGCTTCAGTTATGAAGATTTTTGATGCTGCAAAAGTAAGTGGGCTTAAAAAATATGTTTAATAATAGTTCAGAGAAAAGTTTTAGCCAGCTGGATTCCGTGAACTCAGGATAAATTGTACACATTTCTATAAAAGTTAAGATCTCTTGTTAATGTCCACAGATGTTCACTTTAATAATGCATGTTTCGGTATTGTTTGCTATGCCATTGTTGATAGTTTAAGCCACTGATGCATTGGCATCAGTTATATTTAAAGTACTCAAAGTGGATTATTGTAATATTTGTGAATCTTTGGATGCTGCCTGAATCTAAGGTCTTTAAGCCCTGCCAAGTCACCTGTCTACCTCATTCTACTTTCCTGCCAAAAAGGAGAATAGAATTGATGTTTCAAAATTTATACCATGGGAGATTTTGAAAGAATCTTTTAAAAAAAGTTTCTGATGTGGTATTATCATCAAGAATAGGGGTATTTTTACTTCTAAATAGTCCAGGCTTCAATACAGGTAGATATTTATAACTACTTTTTTTTTCTTTTAAATGTTTTTTATTTTTATTATAATTATTGTTATTATTATTATTTTTTTAGTGGCTGGCCGATATGGGGATCTTAACCTTGGTGTTATAACACCACGCACTAACCAGCAGAGCAACTGGCCAGTCCTAATTTTTAATACTTTTATTTGGGGTATTTGGGACACTTGGGCTTTGTTTGACATGATGCTTTATTATTGTTATTCATGGCTGCTAGGTGAAACGTTGTAATATTAAGTCAGTGGCTGTTATGATACCAACAGCTACAAGTCTAAGAATGAAATTTATTTAACTATACGAACATTTTTTTTTTCCTTTTTGTCTTTTTTCGTGACCGGCAATGGATCGCAACCCTCAGTGTCGCGCCCATACCGGACCAGGACTGGCAACGGGATCGCAACCCTTGGTGTTGCGCCCGCACCTCACTCAGCCAGTGAGCGGCCGGTCTGTACGTGGGATCCGAACCCTGGGCAGGAGCGCCACAGCGCTCCCAAGCGGCGCACTGTAGCAGTGCGCCACCGGGCCGGCCCCATATATGAACATTTTTTTCATACGTTTCTAATTAAAATTTCTGCAGAGGAGATGATGCTTATCAAGTGGCAAATTCCCCAAGTAAACTGAAATATGATTGCTCACTCAGTTGTAAGCTCCTGTGAATAAGGACCGCATCTTACTGTGTGCTTCTGTTCATAGGACATGCTCAGTGTGCTGGCTGTGGAATGTGTGTGCACACACATGAAGGATGTAGGTAGAAAGAAAGGGGACACTAATTTATACCTTAAACTGGTGCCATCATAGATTATGTAACATTTCTTATTTTTTTTAAAACAGCTTTATTGAGATATAATTCACATACCATACAATTTGCCCATTTAAAGTGAACAGTTCAATTCAATGGTTTTTAGTACATTCACAGAGTTGTGTAACCATCACTGCAATATCAATTTAGGAAATTTTTGTCACCCAAAAAGAAACCCCATACCCATTAGTAGTTACTCCCGATTCTCTCTCTCCCACCCCCACAGCCCCCACTCCAGCCCTAGGCAACCACTCTTCTGCTGTCTCTCTCTATAGATTTACCTGTTCTGGACATTTCGTAGAAGTAGAATCTTATATGGCCTTTTATGTTGGCTTCTTTCACCTAGTGTAGTGTTTTCAAAGTTCATCCACATATCACATATCAGTACTATGTAATGTTTCTATGAACCATATTTCTCCACTCCTTATGATATTCTAGTTATAGCCACCTTAGGAGTCCTGGTGAAAAAAATAAGTGTGCAGGTGGCAGCTAGGAGTGATGACTGGGCGAGGGTAGTGTGGAGAATCCTGGGAATGTTAGAGCTTTCTGGACCTTTATTGTACATGTTTTTACCAGTTGCATCCAAAGTTCAAGAAGTTTGTTTGTCATTGTAGTGTGAATGTCAGTCACGTTTAAGTCTTTCCAGTTCACTGTTCACTGAGTTCTGTGCGGTGGCATCTAGGCACCTATTCAGTGGGAGGAGCGGAATGTCACTGCCATTCAAGGACCAGGAGGAAAGTGGATGATCCCTCCAGAAGCCAAAGAGTCCATGGATAAGAACAAGATGGGCTTGAAAGGTAGCAGTGCAGTGGACACCATGGTTATTATTGATTTCTGCTGCAAGTGTTACATTTTTGAAAGTTTATACATTTAAGCTAAACAAGGCCTGACCATCTATTAAAGTAAAGCCATCCTTTCCTGAAGTAACTACTCATAGTAAAATGGTTCGTTTTTCATTTGGGACATTTTTTCCCCTAGTACAACATTAAAATGTTACTGGACAATACCAAACGATAGTGTATATTTATCTTCAACTAGATTTATCTTTTGCTTAGTTTTTATAATTTTATTATTATTTTAATTCATACAAGTTTAAGGTCATGATTCAGAATACTAGTATGTAAGATACTGATATTTGGCACAGGCTTTAAACCCATAGACAGATCCAAGTTTGAATCTCATCCTGTCACTTACTAGTTGGGAGGCTCAGGCAAATTTCTTTCCCTTGGGTTTTTTTCCCTTCTTTCAAATGACAGCAATAGAGTTGCTACCTCATAGGGTGACAGTGAGGATTAGATAATGTCAAGCACCTGCTACACCTTGGTCCTCGGGAGGTTCTCAGATAAGAAATGTAGTTAATGTTCCAGAAAGCTTCTATGAGGAAATTTTCCTCCTGCATTTAATTCTGAGGGAGAGGGTGAAGTTAGAAGTAAAACACATTTTACAAGGTAGCTCAGGTGGGGTAGTAGGTCACATGTGAGACCAGAATGTATCCTATTGTCATCTGGATATTCTTCTTTGTTGCAGGTCCTTTAAAGACCCCAATAGCAGCTGGTCACCCATCTATGAATTTATTGCTGCGTAAAACATTTGACCTTTATGCAAATGTCCGACCTTGTGTCTCCATTGAAGGCTACAAAACCCCTTACACCGATGTAAATATTGTCACCATTCGAGAGAACACAGAAGGAGAATACAGTGGAATTGAGCATGTGGTATGTTCACTGCAGATACTTTCTTATTCCTAGTTGGGTTGCCTGCTGTGCACTTGGGACAGTTGTTCAAATTCCAAGTTGAAAATAGCTCCCAAAGACAGATCAGTTTTACTGCTGTGAGGAGTTGTGGGTGTTTGTCTTGGTGCTGGGTCTCTGGCTGACAGTACTCAATGGATGCCAGGAGGAACAGAGCATGATGGTTCAGGACACAGGCTTGGGAATATGCCTCTGAATTTTGAATCCCCCACTTCCCAGGTGTGCTCTTGGGCAGGTGACCACCTCTGCACCTCAGTTTTCCTCATCTGTGAACTGGGTCTTATAATACCTACCTCACGGGGCTGGGGTTAACATCAGCCCCACTGATATACTGTGCATGTGATGCTGGCCGTGGTAGGTGGCACCGCGCAACCATGCCACAAAAGATAGTCTACACCCCTCCAACTGTTGTTGCCACACCCTTTCCAGTGAGGCCAACTTCCTCACTTTCAGATCGTTGACGGAGTCGTGCAAAGTATTAAGCTCATCACCGAGGAGGCAAGCAAGCGCATTGCTGAGTTTGCCTTTGAGTATGCCCGGAACAATCACCGGAGCAACGTCACAGCTGTGCACAAAGCCAACATCATGTGAGTCCCTGTGGGGCCAGTGCCCTGTCTTGCTTTGTTGTGGGAACAGCATGACGGGCTTCCCTTTCTTCTCTCCATCTTGCTCATTGATTCCTAAGATCTCTGCAAAAGAACCTTGTAGCAGCCAGAGGGTCTGGCATTTCTCTTCTGTCGTATCTTCTATTTACTGTGTCTCACTGGGTGAATGATAGGAGCGAATGAGTGGAGGCAGGCATTCAGGTCCTGGAAGTTTAAGGAGGGACAGAGGATTATCAGAAAAGGAAGCTGGAGGCTGTGGGTCCCCAGATGCTGTGGCCAGTTAGCCAAGGCCATGTTGTTTATGTTTTAGAATTGGACGAGTGGGAGTGTTTCTGAAATGGCCACATATTCAGAGGTTAAAATAGTGCTAATAGGGCTAGTATCTGATGTGTTGCTCTAGCAGTTTAAATTCTCCTCATCTTTAGTCTATTAAAGGCCATCTGGGGCCGACCCCAGGGCTCACTCAGGAGGGTGCGGTGCTGGGAGCGCCAAGGCCGCGGGTTCGGATCCTATATAGGGATGGCCGGTGTGCTCACTGGCTGAGCGCCATGCGGGCGACACCAAGCCAAGGGTTACGATCCCCTTACCGGTCACACACACACACACACACACAAAAAATTTTTTTAAATAAAATAAAATAAAATAAAGACCATCTGTGAATATATAAAGAAACAGTTTCCCTAGCCTAAGAAAAGTGTTGGAACATGCAAAATAGTAAAACTATTTGAATAATTAAGTTAACCTTTTAAAGCAATTTTAATAATATGAATGGATATTTCTTTTTTTTTTTTTGTGACCGGTAAGGGGATCGCAACCCTTGGCTTGGTGTTGCCCGCACCGCGCTCAGCCAGTAAGTGCACCGACCATCCCTATATAGGATCCAAACCCACGGTGGGAGCGTCGCTGCGCTCCCAAGTGCCACACTCTCCCGAGTGCACCACGGGGCCGGCCCTGAATGGATATCTCTTAGTTCTTACTGTATAACACTATAAAAATGTAGTTTTCTCTATTATGATCAAGCTCTTTTATGTTTTTACCCTTCTGTGCTTCCAGAAGGGTCCCAAAACATTTTAAACTTGCATTTGATTAACTGCCTAAGAAATAATCTTACCATAATTGAAATTGGTCATTTTGGCTTCTGGAACTTACTTTACTACTTTGATTTGATCCTTTTCTTTCTGCAAGTCTTTGTTTTCAATAGTTTTTATGTGATTAAATACAGGCGGATGTCAGATGGGCTTTTTCTGCAAAAATGCAGGGAAGTTGCAGAAAACTGTAAAGATATTAAATTTAATGAGATGTACCTCGATACAGTATGTTTGAACGTAAGTATATATTCACACTTACCTGCTGATTGTGGTGAATAGTGTGTGTGCATGGTGTGTAGTTTTTGATTGCTAAATGCACAAATATATTTCTTGTAGATGGTACAAGATCCATCCCAATTTGATGTTCTTGTTATGCCAAATTTGTATGGAGACATCCTTAGGTGAGTCTGCCTGTACCCTTTTTATTTTAGCCTATAGTGTATTTATAAGCATCCCACAATAAATTATGGTTTAAAATTTTCCATCAAGTATCATGAGATATAGCATTTGTTAGCTGAGTTGAGTCCTAGCATTCAGGTGGTGATAGCAATGACCATATGTTGAGTGGGTTGTTCCATCATTTATTTGCCAAATCAGTGCTGGGCTATTGCTCCCTAATCATTCGTTTACTCTTCCCATTTTTCAGATGTTGCATTGACTGATTGATTGATTTCTTTATGTTTTGTTATGTATAGCTAAGTAGATGGACGGTCATTTTTACAAATTTTTGGTAACTTTTGACATAATTTCAGACTTACAGAAAAGCTGAACCCAGATTCCCCAGGGGTTTACATTTTCCCATGCTCACTGTGCTCCCCTTCCCTCTTTTTCTCCCCTTCCCTCTCTTCCTCTTTCCTCCCTTTCTCTTTCTCTCATCCTCCTCCTCCTTCTTTGTCTGCCTCTTTTTATTTCTCTCATACACGACACAGCCATACGAGGGTACTTCAAAAAGTTCATGGAAAAGGAGAATTGAAAGATAATACCTTAAAATTTTCAATCAAGTATCATGAGATATAGCATTTGTTAACTGAGTTGAGTCCTAGCATTCAGGTGGTGATAGCAATGACCGTATGTTGAGTGGGTTGTTCCATCATTTATTTGCCAAATCGGTGCTGGGCTATTGCTCCCTAATCATTCGTTTACTCTTCCCATTTTTCAGATGTTGCATTGACTGATTGATTGATTTCTTTATGTCTTGTTATGTATAGCTAAGTAGATGGACGGTCATTTTTACAAATTTTTGGTAACTTTTGACATAATTTCAGACTTACAGAAAAGCTGAACCCAGATTCCCCAGGGGTTTACATTTTCCCATGCTCACTGTGCTCCTCTTCCCTCTTTTTCTCCCCTTCCCTCTCTTCCTCTTTCCTCCCTTTCTCTTTCTCTCATCCTCCTCCTCCTTCTTTGTCTGCCTCTTTTTATTTCTCTCATACACGACACAGCCATACGAGGGTACTTCAAAAAGTTCATGGAAAAGGAGAATTGAAAGATAATACGACTCTTTCCATGAACTTTTTGAAGTATCCTCATATATGGGCCAAATGGTGGTTTTCTAAGCCCATCCTTCCGTCTACATTTATTAGTCGGCATTCTACTGTAAGGACAAGCTTTTCGTTCTCGTTTATTTGTTTACTTATCTATATTGATGTGGACACATGGCTTTCTATGTTATTCAGTGGTAGACTCATCATTATCATCATTTATATTGATGCTCAAGTTGTCCCGACTTGGCCAGTGGAGGTCCCTTTCCCGTGTCTCCTGTATCCGTTTGACACAGCCCTTCATTTCTTTGAGCCTTGTCTTGCTTTCTGACGCAGTATCTGTAGTTTCCTAACCTTCGCCCTGGAATCAGCCATTTCTCCAAGGAAACCTGGTTTCTTTTAGTGGAGAATNTTATTAGTCGGCATTCTACTGTAAGGACAAGCTTTTCGTTCTCGTTTATTTGTTTACTTATCTATATTGATGTGGACACATGGCTTTCTATGTTATTCAGTGGTAGACTCATCACTATCATCATTTATATTGATGCTCAAGTTGTCCCGACTTGGCCAGTGGAGGTCCCTTTCCCGTGTCTCCTGTATCCGTTTGACACAGCCCTTCATTTCTTTGAGCCTTGTCTTGCTTTCTGACGCAGTATCTGTAGTTTCCTAACCTTCGCCCTGGAATCAGCCATTTCTCCAAGGAACCCTGGTTTCTTTTAGTGGAGAATGGTATTTAAAAACGGAAATTTGGGTGCTGGGTAAGGTGTTTTATCTTTCAAAACATCCTTTGAAATGCTTTTCTGCTCCTAGTGACTTGTGTGCAGGATTGATTGGAGGTCTTGGTGTGACACCAAGTGGCAACATTGGAGCCAATGGGGTTGCGATCTTCGAGTCGGTAAGGACCCTCACACCTGAGGCAGAATTTGGATCAGAACAGCATGAGAACAGAGGAGGAGCTATCTGTATAAATATGGTTTCATTCTTTAGCTTTTCAAATTGTCAAAAGAAAATGATGCTGTGTTTATTTTCTTATATAGGCTTGGTTTGTTTATTTCCCTCCAGGTATTTATTTTATTGTATATCCCTTCTCACTCAAAATATTTTACAAACAATTGACTAGAAAAGATTGTTGGTCCATATTTTTACACTTAAAAAAATTACTTTAGCTCTTTATTTCTCTAAACCTTTATTTCTGAGATGTCAGGTGAATTGTACACAGTAGCTTTCACTAAATACTTGCTATTGGTGAGGAAAGATGATTAAGACCCCAGCTACCCCAGATAAGAGGGCTGTTAGTTCTGGTTTCCCTCCTGCTGATGCTCCTGTTCCCAATGCCCAGGTTCATGGGACTGCTCCGGATATCGCAGGCAAGGACATGGCCAATCCCACTGCCCTCCTGCTCAGTGCCGTGATGATGCTGCGCCACATGGGACTTGTTGACCACGCTGCAAGAATTGAGGCCGCGTGTTTTGCTACAATTAAGGATGGAAAGGTATCTGTAATCTTGACTTGTGTTGGGTAGAACGCACTTCGTCCATGTGTTTTATCTGTGTGAAGGGAACAGATAATAATTCTCGAGAGAGCCAAAGGATTTGACACTGAACAGGGATTCTTTTTTTGGCAGCTGACTTATATGGGAATCCGAACCCTTGACCTTGCTGTTATAACACTGCACTCTAACCAGCTGAGCTAACTGGCCAGTCTAAGCAGGGATTCTTTTTTTTTTTTTTTTTTCCTTTTTGTCTTTTTTCG